GTTTCCCTAGTGATGTGAAGCATTTCGCTTCAACGGTCCCTCCCCTCCTAACTCACCTCCCAATCCTTCAACACATGGTGAAGGGTTACTTCAGATAAAATTTCTGCGTAAGAAACCATACTAGATCTTAAATGCGCTCAGATGCATATGAGGGTTTCCAAGCTAAACTAAAGTAAGAGAGCCCACATTGTTTAGAGCATACTTGAAGGCATATTCAAATTGATATTAAACAGTAGATAAGTAGAAGTGTAACAAATACTTAAACAGACTCACAAAAATTATCGTGTTATTTGCATTTAAAAAGCAAAAAAGCTGTTTTTAGGGTCAATTAAAATAAAAGTGTAAAGAAGTGGATTGTAAATGGCATAGAGGCGCAAAATACATAATAAGTATTCAATTAATTGAACGATACATGCAATTTCTTCACATAGGAATGTTACTTGCAGTTTAGTAACCATCGTTTGTGAGTAAGGCTTTGGTGAATTGAGGTTGGTCTCTATCGTTTAATTGGCAAATAACTTGATGAATGGAACTCTAGTAGTTAAATACCCATGAAAAACTTTATTATAAATCCGGAGAATTGTTATAATGCCTCCATTATTCTTAGCATACTGTAGACTTCATTTAATGCGGTAATCAACTTTTTAAAAGTTATGGAATAATATTCAAGCAAAAAGACTGCATAAAAGTTGAAAACGGTGAAAAAATATATAGTAATGACCACTATAAGCCAAAATAGTGCAGTTGCTTAATAATCCAATACTTCAGAAAATAGAGTTTTATTCTAGTCTACCTAATATCATCACTGTAGGCTGTTTTGAACAACATTTTTGATAATTGATGGTCACGTTTGAAACGAATTTGATTTTAATTCAAAATAATATTCTTGCGTATGAGAATTATCCTCAACTAATGAGCAAATTGAGATGCAACAAAAAATGTTTACCCAAAGTTAAATATTGACGTGTCTATAATATTCCAAATGATAAGAGCAAATTAAAGTCAAATAGACAAAGTAATTTATATTCAAAAGTTTATTAATTTTATTTTATAATAAATGCTCCATTATTTCAATAAATAAAATGGTATTAACGGAATACTCAAAAAATAAATGTGCCAAGATGGCAATAGTACTGAGTGAAACTTTGTAAAGTGTCAAGAGAATGTGTGGAATTATTTGTGAATCGACAATATTTATTGTGAAAAATTGTTTAATGTAGGTATAATTAGATAATCGGCCGAAATAAAGATTCTGTGATTAAACGTATATGCCATAGAGAGAACGGCCTACATGCTCTTCATTCTTGAGAGATCTTTACAGTTGATTAGTTAAAGAAATAATTAACTAAATTGTTGGCTCAGTTAGTCAGAACACTCGCCTGTGGGTAATGGGAAGATTATCCGTATAAGCATTACTTAAAGATCTGAGTTTGAAATGTTGATGAGTTACACAGAGTAGTAGATCAGTGGAGGCTTCCGTTTAATATCAACAGTTAAAATACTGATATTCTAATTTCATTGCCTGAATGCTTCAATGGAATGAGAAATATACATGCGCTTAGGTGATTAATATGCTTTAGTTAATCAACAAAAACCAAAATGAAGTCAACTGAAGCAAAAGGAATTAGATACAGCCTCATGGTATAGATCAGAATATTTTATTATTCTTGATGCCAATTAAAATCTGCTGATTTCGCTCCACACAGCGATTAGTGTTTTAACAAATAAATCTATCATAAGTTGGGCGGTTTACCAAGGGTCACCAATTCTGTGACCAAATTCCAGCATCCTAAGTCAATTGAAGGTAAGCAAATGAATAATGTAAAGATGATAACTCAATCAAATTACAGAAACCAAAATTTGGTAAGAGACAAGTTACGAATTGAGAAGATAAACGAAAGCTCTAAAGATTAAATGAACTAAACGATCAACCAACTTGGAGCCTGAAATAATGATCAATCGAAAAAAGAACTAATGATTTACTATTGAAAATGCATAAAGTGTGTGATGGATAGATATCCATCAGCCTTAACCACAGCCTCCACTTAAACTAATATTGATTGGTGAAGGTGATCATGGGAAAAGGGTAGGGGGTAAGTGGAATATAAATAGATGCTGGTATGAAGCATATGATTGACAGTTACTTCAATATCCTCAAAAAATTAAATTTTCGTATTTTACGCATTTAATGTTAAAGGAATAGTTAAATTGAAGAAATATAGTTAATTGTTTTAGGACTGAGCTGAACGTAGCTCAGAATCCGTATGACTTCTGAGAAATGCGAATTCAGTAAGTAGGTAGCGACCAGAAAATTTATTTATTTCAAATGGCAGGCTTTATAATATTTATCATTAGCCCTTAATCTTTGACTTCAGCTTCCCCCAAGAGAGGGGGAAGGTACATTTATAGCAGTTAATCAATAGCAGTTCATTAGCAGTCTTCTTGCTTCCCAGTATCTTTGGCTTTCTGTCCTTGTCTTTAGAGCTGGACACCGAATCAGGTGGGTCTTCCCCATTTCCTCATGTAGGTTACATAGAGGGCATGTAGGTTGAGTGTATACTCCCAATCTGTGAAGGTGTTTTGCCAAGCAATCGTGTCCGGTACGTAGTCTAAACTCAGCAACGGCTTCGATTCTTGGCCAGTCGGGTATGTCGGAGAGTGCCACTGTCCACTGTTCCTCCTTTGTTCGAGCTTTGAGTTCGTTGAACCTTGAGGTCTGGAATTCTCTCCTGATTAAGGCCTTCATTGAGTGGAAAGACATCGGCCGGTCCATGCATTGCAAAATCGTTGTCCCCTTCTTAGCAAGTGTGTCAGCAATCTCATTGCCTTTAATGCCACAGTGACCAGAAATCCATTGTAGGCCCACTGTTTTGTTTTTCTCTCTCAGCAGCTAATAGAGTTTTCTACATTCGTTTATCTCAGCTATTTTGGGTGTCTCTCTGTTTCCAATAGAGTCTATTGCTGACTGTGAGTCCGAAAGTATCACCGCTTTGGTGAATTTCNCTTAAGAGCGGGTTTATGCTCTGATGGGCCAAAGAAAATGTTTGGAATGCAGTTTTTGCGGTGTTGACTACCATTTCATTGTTGTCACACCAGTTTACTAGTAGTTTAAGTGCAATATTAAGAGCACTTTCTGTCCCCTCCTGACCGTTTTTCTTAGGGGCGGAATACCATAGAACAAGATCATCTGCATAAAGTAAGCACTTAACGCCCGTGACTGTACCAATTCGGCTATATCATTGATGAAGACATTGAAAAGAGTGCAGCTTGTGACAGCTCCCTGTGGAAGGCCTGTTTGCAAAAGATTGGATTTTGATAGAGCATTTCCGTATCTGACTTTACACGATCTTTGTCCAATGAATGCTTTTATCCAGTTTAGCATGTTATGCTTAATACCAATCTTTGCCAATTTAAGAATTAGCTTCTATTTCCATACAAAGTCATATGCTGATTTGAAATCGACGAAAACAGCCGTAATTGGATTTCTTGCATCAAGTGCATCTTTGATGTGTTGGGAGAAAGTGGCTTCTTGCTGGTTTGTTGATCTTTGTGGCCTAAAACCTCTTTGTTCACTCCTAAGAATATCGTTAGTCTCAAGGAACCAGGTCAGCCTCCTGTTAACCATTCTCTCCATAACTTTAGCTATCACGCTTGTGAGGGAGATAGGCCTATAGAAGTCAAAGTCTTTAGCTATCACGCTTGTGAGGGAGATAGGCCTATAGAAGTCAAAGTTGCAACGGTCTTTGCCCTTTTTTAGTACTTGTATTACTATGGCCACTTTCCATTGGTTAGGTACAAGACTGGTCTCCCAGATTTTGTTGTAAAGAGTCAGCATGGTTTCCTTGGCTTTTGATCCCATTCTAATTAGAAATTCCGGATGAATACCGCCTTCGCCAGGAGACTTCTTGCACTTTAGTTGTTTTATCGTAGCATTAAGTTCGCAAGGTCGGAATGGTTCAGTAAGTACATTATTTGGTGTCGCTATGTCTTCCTTAATTTCACCAAACTGTCTTACTTGTATCTTTAAATATCTTGAAGATTTTCTGATAAAAGGGTTTTTCTTTTGCTTGTGGGAATGGAACCTCGCAAAGCAGTTAGCTATTTCGGTGTCGGTGGTAAGCAGTTTGCTGTTTAAGCGTATTAGTTCTTTATTGGGTCTTTCTCTGTTGTTTTGGAGGTTTCTCAGAAATTTGAAAGTGCGTTGGCTATCACTTTGATAGTTGATATTTGAGATGAATTTGTCGAAGGAAGTGCGTTTAGCTTGTAAGATGGCTTGCCTTAGGACAGCTGTTTGTCGTCTCCAGGCTTTTACGTCTTCCGTTCTTCCAGTCTGATCAGCAGTGTTGCGAAGGGCGTCCCTCTTTCTTTTCAGTTCCTCAAGGTGTTTAGACCAAAACACTCGACATTGTTTAGTTTTGCCTCGGGGAATAGTTTTCTTTGCACATCTAAGCATAATATTTGTGATAGCAGTGCAAAGTTTGCCAGGATGTTGGTTGAAGTTGAGGGGACTTGAATGAAGTTCATCCTCTAAAAGGTTTGTGAATCTGGGCCAGTCAGCCTTCTTGAAGTTCCATGATAGCTTAGTTGGCACTTTCCTTGACATGCTTTTGCTGCCGATGGTAATACTAGCTATGACTGATTTGTGACCAGAACCAGGATCGTCAATTATTTTGCGGCGAGTATGCTCACTGATGTCGCTTGAAGCCAGGAGTAAATCAGGAGTTGTTCTGGTTCCATTGTAGTGCAAATATGTAGCCGGATCCTCGTTGCTATAAATAAGTTCCAGAGAGTTGCTGTTTAGCATGTCTTCAATTTCCTTTCCAGCTATGTTTGTATCCTTGTAGCATCATCTGGTGGAGTTGGCGTTGAAGTCTCCTAATACTATAGTTTTGTGTGAGATGTTCAGAAAGTCAAAGTTGGGACAATTCAGGGGAGGTTTATAGACTGCATATATCTTGAATTGTTTTGACATTTCCAAACATTTAATCTGATTATTTCACATTTGTCTTGTGTCGAGCCCATACTCTTGAATAGGTCGTAGTGTGAGGTGAGGCCTTCTTATACTCCAGTTAGAATCCCACTTGCAGCTTGCCGGTATTTAGATAGATTGTACAGGGGCGATCAGAACATAAGAACAGGCAAAATTTTAAAGTTAACTTTGCATTCAACTTAAGACATCTAATTCATGGTGTACGTGTAATCTGCTGACAGAGATAAAACTCGGTCTTAAAGAATCAGCCTTTGCTTAAGCGGAAATTACTTGATGAGGCAGAACATTGATAAATGGATGCTGGCATAATGCATATGATTAACAATTGCAATCCTATCTCGAAAACCAATGTCCTGTTTTTGACGTATTCTTTATCTTGCCAAGCAACCTTGTCCAAAGATTATCATATAAACAGTCGAAACGCTCGGTAGTTGTCTGAATGAAAGCCGTCAGTAAGCTGCTGATGATGAAAGGTTTTAAGCCACACACTGACTAAAAGGAATTTGATAAATTTAACTAAGGCACAATATGTTCGTTCATAAACGCTTTACATTCAATGCTCAGTTTCAAAAGTGACCTCAGTATCTTACATTTCTGCACTTCCTGATGACAACCTAAAATAAATATTCGCGTCAGCAAATTCTGAATTAAATGATTTTTTTGTTTATAGTTTAAAATGTTACCTTTGTAGTTTTAACATAACAACGGATTGCCGCAAATTGAAGCTTATTGAAAAATACACTAGTATGCGCTCACCTCATTAAATCTCAAAACTAGTAACTTACACTTTCCTAATCAGTGCGTACAGAATATCTTGTTCTCACCTAAGCGCTGGAAGCTCTAAATGCTTTGAAACCGTCAAATCATCCTATGAGATCCCTGATGTGTTCGCCTATGAAATTGATTAAGAATTTTGTCCATTTTTAGAATAAATTCAGTTTATCAAATTATATAAGTAAATTTTGCTTCGGTTCAATGTACGTCATAATAAGAAAATGTCCAATTCTATATACTTCGAAACATATTCCGTTTTGCTCTCAAATGTTCTTGTAAAAGAAAGATATACTCTCAACTTTCAGAGCAATAACTATGTATGATTTCAAGTAACTACTGTAATATCTACTTCCATCAACCCAATTCTATCTTAGTTAATTGAGCTTGACCACAAAAAATTTATTTTTATGGGAATGCAAACAAATATGTGCTTTTAGCAAAACGGAAATTTAAGGTTTTCGTTGATGCGTTTCAAACATTTAAGCATTATTGACTAGCATTTCTACTACCTTAATTTTACTAAAATTACGCATTCACTTCAAATCATCGTTTTTGCTGTCAAGTTCTATTTAAGTATTTTAAAATTATGTTACCGTCATCAATACTACTTTCGTTGTCGTCCATAATCTTTTGGATAAACTCTGCATTCGCTTTGTATTAAAAAGCATGATTTATGTAATACGTTTTCTTAGATCAAGATATAATGATTTCCCAAAATAAATGAGCATAATTCAAATAAAGTCGGGATGTATTTTTTTTCAAGTGTTTTGAAGACATTGTCAAAAGCCAAACTTTTAATTATTCATTGCGTCTTAAACCATTAATTCATGCATTAATTTTTTTAAAGAAAATTAATCATTTATTTATTTTTAAATGTAAAATTAAATTAACTTATAAAATATCCATATTTATTGGTCGTGAGTCAGTTTACTACGATTGCATTTAAAAATTGGCATTGTTTAAGAAGTAAGTCATCCATTTTAAATTTGAAGAGAAATTTACTTTGGTTTCTCAAATTAAATTAATAGATGGCTTGCTAAAATAAACGTATTCTACATGACATTCAACTGACGACTCAAGCAGTGGATTAAACCCATCAGATATGCGTAATTTTATATTCGAACTTACTCTTCCTTGTTGTTACTTATTCATACTCTAGAAAATTACAAAGTTTTAAAAAAAGCATCATGTTTCTTCTGCATTAGCATCAAATTTTTCTCGCCATTAATTGAACAGGTTCAAGATATTTTCAATTTCTATGTCAATCTTGTTTTAATCAAGCAAAGATTCTATATATATATATATATATATATTTATATATTTATATATTTATTTCAAATGACAGGCGCTTTGATAACCATCATTCCAAAATCTGCTCTATCTAATGTAGACTCACCAGTATTTGCTATCGTATGATATTTATATAACTTTAGCATTTATGAAGATGAATTTCCACCAATTCAGAATAACTTCTATTTTTTTAAATTTATTTAACTAGTTTGTCAAACAATAAATATATATGGTAGGTAAAGTATTAATTTTAGGCGAATCAAAAATGAATTGTTTGATAGTATCAGTCGGCCTCTTTTTAATACATAGATCAAAATAAAAAGAAACGATATATCATAAGTGAAGTTAGTTGGTTCCTAAAGTAAATTAGATGCGTCGTTGTCAAGAGTTTATACATCGACTCTAATTTAAACCAAATATAATGAGCCTTTAACTTTAAATCTGTTCATTCCTACATTAATTGTATTTAAAAACGAATAAAGACGATTTAAAATTTAGTTAAGTTTAAAATTTAGACCTAAAAAAGTCTTAAAGTACATTTTAGTACTTTCGGTGGTGTTTGAAAAGGACATTTCCAACGACATGCCAGAATTGAACGGATTGACTGTAGGCAATGATTTATTTGGGAACGAATGAAGACAAGTATTTTAACCAATTTAATTTAGTTGCCTCCACTTCGCTTTTACTGATGAAACCACATTAAAAATGAGCATCAGTGATAAAAATGATGATATAAGCAGTTAGATAAATTTAATTTTAAAAATTTAATTTTCGCCTCTAATAACACTC